TCCTCCTCTGTCCTCAATGAATTCAGCTGATCATTTAACTTGGCATCACATTCGTGTTCGTCTTCAGCTTCTTCTTCGTCTTCTTCCTCCTCATCCTCACCTTCTTCCATTATAGGCGGCATGATATGCACCCCGCATTCTTGTAATCGCAGCAGTTGCTGTTCTACCCACAACGCAAAATAACTTTCTGTATATTTTTCGTTGTCATCGTGAACAGGGCGTTCCTCTTCGTCCTCCATTGTTCTCGATGAATTCCACTCATTCTCAAAGTGAGGAGAAGTTACTGTTCTCTCCTCAACACCAAATAACTCTCTGTATATTTTTCGTTCCTCTTCGTCCTCAATTGTCCTCGCTGAATCACCCTCGTTCTGAAAGTTGGGAGGTTGTTCTTCGTCCTCCATCTTGATTGTCCTGGTGGAATCACTGAGTAACTGATTACAACATTCGATCTGAGCCTTCATAATCATGTTAATGTTATCCAACTCGTTCATCCACTGAACAAGTTTTTCGTCTCCTGCCTTCGCCAAAAGATATTCTGTGTGAAGCTCCTTCTGGATCTGGTCTCTTATTTGCGTCCAGTTTTGCATTTTCGGCAGCACATCTCTCATCTCTAGCAGGACACTTTTCCACTGGTGTACTGACATCTTGGACTGTGCCGGTTTCTTTGTTCTCTCATGTTCCCTGTATGAAACCCGCCGTAGGTGGCAGCACACAGTCACGCACGCAGTGATTGTGATGAGGCTGAGGAACAGGGGACCACCAAGTAGCATCCAGAAATACTCGCGTTCTTCTGGCCTTCTCCACTGAAATGCCCAGGACCCTGCATACTCTGCTTTCTTTGTTCTAGTGGAGTTTCCAGCTACAGTTCTTTCTGAGTCTTGGATTGGCTGCAAGACTCGGACAGTTTCAGATGTTGGGATGGGTCCAGATGCTGGGATCGCTTCAGGTGTTGGGATGGGTCCAGGTGCTGAGGTAGTTTCTGGTACTGGTAATGGTACAGTTGCTGGGATGGGTCCAGGTGCTGAGATCGGTCCAAGTACAGCAGATAGTTCGAATTCTGGGATTTTATGGTATATTCCTACTTGGTGAAATACCAAAAATGCTACGCACGTTAGAATCACGGCTGATATTTTCCACATTTTCGTGGCTTTTTCTTACACCACTGCGAAATACTAATTAGTACGTCTAACACGGGTTTCGTTCAGACCGCTAAATCCAATGAAGACCTGGTGTAGCTGACTTACCGTCCGTGAATTTGTAACACTTTCACTATTCTACACACTCCGTAAATTATACTACAAGCGCTTAGTTTTTACTAGTCGTTCCTTGGTACTGGCACACTGTCACTAGTATATGCTCCTCGCCTCACTGTCGAAGTCAAAGTGCAGAATCAAACTAGCTGCTTCTTTATATAGCCTGTTGCCTGACCGCGTGTCGCCTGGTGTCGTAATGTACTGTGACGTGGCGGATGTACTGTGGCGTGGCGGCATCGGAGCGCCGACGTTACTACTTCCCCTACTCCGCCAGCGGTGACGTAACACCTTCGGAGCATTGTAGGTTGTTAACTAAACCAATTAACAATCCAAACGGCGTCTTTAGTGGCAAGAAACACGTTACAGTACCTAGCAATAACTTTTATTTACAGAACGATTATCTAGCAACGCCCTGTGTTTACAGAGCAATTACCTAGCAACGGCTTCTGTTTACGAAGCGAATACCTAGCATAGCTTTTAATAGCAGCTTATTTCGCTGTCGTTGCCAGGTTACGGGTATACATGCATAGTTTTATAGATACTGGAAACGTCGTGAAATAACATGAAGCGTAATCAGCTGATATGTCTTTGTAATGAACGTGAATAATGTTTTTCTGTTATGTAGGAACTGCGTTTTTTTTTTCTTGGCACTACAGCCCCAGTGGCCCTAGGCCTACCTCCATTAACTTATCCGTTCACTTCGGTTTTTCTAGATCTTACACATTCGGTAGGACTCCTTGGGCGGGTGATCGGCTCGTCGCAAGGCCTCTACCTGTACACAAACACAGAAAAACGCAACCGAACATCCAAGCCCTGAGTGGGATTCGAACCAACGATCCCGGCTTCCGATCGAGCGAAGACCAGTGCATGCCTTAGACCTCTCGGCTACCGTGACCTACAGGAACTGCATTTATGAACGTAATATTTAATAACTAAACTGCTTCAAAGTCTTAAATCTCTGATAAAAGTTCTTTGAATTTCTTTAAATGTAAAGTAGACCTATCGAGACAGCGTTGTGAGTGTGGGGGAAAACTGTACTGATTAAATACGTATTTCATGTAGTACAACGCGAATAAGTAATGTTTTAATGAACATGTCAAAGACATTCAGATGAACGCTCGACAGCGCTAGTGTCGGCCGGAGAATGAAGATGCAAGATGGCGGCAAGTTAGGATTGTAGTGTAAATCGCTCTACCTTTCAAGTACAAAATACAAGTAGTAACCAACCAAGTAAGTGCTTCTGCTGTATTGAATTGAGTAGTCAACTTCAAAAAGCAAGAGATGAAATATTATCGTACAAGAAAATCATCGAAGTACTACAAGGTGAACCAAGTGATAAAATGCCACTTAACATCTTAAAGGAATCAAAGAAAAGCAATAGCTTAGGGGAACAGGCAAATGCTCCATCAAGCGAAGAAGACTGGATATTTGTAACTTCCAAAAGCAATAGGACAAGGCAAGATATTAATAGAAATTTGATACAAATAATACCCGCGGCAAACAACAAATTCGATTTGCTACATAACCTCAAAGAAGACGAAGAAGCAACCACCACGATAAAGAAGGACGCGGGAATCCGAAACCCAAGTAAACTTTCACAAATAAAGATGGGAAATAAGCACGTGAATAGTCAGAAGAAAGCTAAGCACAAAGTACTAATAATTGGGGATAGCCATGTAAAAAATGTGCGGCTGAGCTTCGATTAAACCTGGATCAAGAGTATATGATTTCAGGATTTTCTAAACCGGGAGCTCTAACCAATGAAATTTTGGAAACTTCAGAAAAAGAAATAGCTACACTGGGTAGTAAGGATGTCTTGATTTTATGGGTTGGAGCAAATGACATCAGCAAAAACAACACAAAAGGAGCTATAAAGAGCTTAACATCATATTTGGAGGTACAAAGGAAGACAAATATTGTCCTAATTAATACACCACATAGACACGATCTTGTATCAACATCCTGTGTAAATAAGGAAGTAGAGAAATACAATAGGCAATTGAAAAAAATCGTTAAACTGAATACAAATGTGGAGCTGATGGAATTGAAACTCCAAAGGAAGCACTTCACTGGACATGGGCAACATCTTAATTATAGCGGTAAAGAGTTAGTCTCCAAAGAACTGGCCAAGAAAATTGAACACCACTCAACAAAGGTAGGAACAATCCCCATAGAAATCCAATGGAAAGCGGACAATCTGAAGGAGATAAACTTGGAAAGGCAGAATAAAATTGGAGATCAGGAAGAAACAGTGAACCAGGAAAAGCCCATAAAGCCAACCAAGAGCCAAGATAAAAAAGCCAAGGGTACTAACAAGGCAGCAAAGTGCGAGGAACCACAAGGAGAGGAGACTGCAGATACCCAAGGGAATACATCAAAGGAGAATCCAGTAAACCCAGCCCCTAACTGTGTAGCCATACCACTGACACCACCAGTTTATTTGTAATCAGTATTCCTTTTATAGTAATTAAGCATAAGAAGTAGCAAGGAACATTCAAGGGTGACTTAGCCCGATTCTTGGTTTCAAGAATAGGGCCTGCTTCACTGCTACAAAGACCAGAGAGGAAGCACCCCGCAGAGTTTTCTTGGAAATTCAGTTCGAAAGTTGACCAGCGGGATCCTTTGGTAAAGTTACACTTGACGAGTTTTGAACCCCATAAGTCAAAAGTGGGAAGGCCAGCAACCCACGCTACTGGTATAATTTTTCAAGCAGCTGTCAAAAACGACATTAGGACTTTAAGGTCCAAAGTCCCAAATTAAAGCTAGGTGATTGGAGCAGTGAGAATTATGGTTAACTCCCTAAATTCGAATTGTTCCAATCAGCCGAAATTAGGGTAGTAACTTGGAGGCGGAGCTGAAGCCATGAAGATTTCCTGCTGCGAAGCAGAGTCAGTCTGCGAGAGGAGACTCTGAACAACCCTCCAAGGGTACAGCCGAAAAACTAGCGTCGCTGGCAGTTTGGTTTAAAAAAAAGTCAAAGTTAAAACAAATTTAAGTTTAAGTGTTTGCAGGAACAATCTCTGGATAACTCTTCAAAATTTAATGTGAATTTTACTTTGTGTTAAAAGTATAAGTGAAAGTGTAATTCTATGTGATGTGCTAAAAGAAGCAGTCACCACATAACTAGCCAGGGATCCGGTCGCCAACGGTTGAGCGATTCCAAGGTGTTTTAAGGGAGTGCAACAAGTGCTGTTACATGTACGTGTATATTAAGATCTGCTAATTAAACAGTGTGTGGTAGTGCCTAACTACAAACACTCTTCTCTTTCCTGCTGACTCGAGGCCTGTATTCACCCTGAGACAGAATCTTATCGCTCTAGTGAGAATGCGGTACCTATCACCTGCAGTTTCCAGTTCATCCCCCCCTTTTCCCGAAATGTGAGTCTACAGTAAGCTTACTGGCGCCCAGCATTCCAATAACCCATACCCCGCAAACTCTTATCCACAACAACAACAAACAGGGAAGCAGAACTGGATAAGAAGGACGCAGCAGCAACCTGCAAACCCGGAATACCAACAGGTGAGAGGGAACGGCTAGAGGAGCACCTGCAACCAGCAACCAAAGGGCCCTAGAGTGGACGGTTACAACTGCGTGGTGATACCAGAGAGGGAGCGGCAGGAAGTTCGCATGACAACCAGAACAAGGAAAATCCCACTCAAGCTGAGTAAAGATTTTTTATAGATAAACATAGTGCTGGTATACTCAAGGTCACCAACAATAAATGTAAAGACAACACTAATATTAAAATATTTCATCAAAACGTGCAGAGTTTAAGGAACAAAAATCTAAACATAGAAGTGCTACTAACTTATAAAACACTACAGCTAGACGTGTTATGTATTACTGAACATTGGTTGAAGGATGAAGAAATAGGTTATTATAATTTTGCTAACTACACCCTTGTTTCAAAATTTTGTAGGAAGAATAAGCAACATGGAGGCTCATGCATCTATGTCAGGGACTATCTAGAAGCAAAGCCTTATAACTTGTTCGTAGACCTAAATCAAGAAGAACATTTCGAGGCTAGTATTATCGAACTCATACAATTTAACACAATCATCATCTGTGTGTACAGAACCCCTAATAGCAACATTAATATATTCATTGAAACCATGGACACAATAATTAGCAAGATACTAATCAAAGGGCAGAACATTATCATTGCAGGTGACCTCAACATAGATTTCTTAAGAAATGGAGGGGACCCACAACTACAGACAATGTTAAATTCACATGGCTTACAAGCAGTAGTGAATGTCCCAACGAGAATAGGTCCCAGAAGTCAAACAGCCATAGATCAAATAATAATTAACAAGAACTTATGGGAATACAATCTAGAGGCGATCAACACAGGATTTTCTGACCATAATGCGCAGATAATACGAGTGCAGATGCAACACAAGAACAAAAAAGGGCAAACCAGATTAGAGGGAGAATGCAGAATGGCCAATACCTATGCAATCTACTAGATAAAGAGACCTGGAGCTCGTCTTTAAGCAAAAATCAGCGAATGATGCATATAATGAGTTCCTAGGTACTTTCCAATATTACTATGAAATAGCAATGCCTAAAAAATGGTTAAAGAGCAAACATTATGCAAATAAATGGGTGACCCTAGGTATAAGGACATCAGGGATTAGACTCAGATTTGTTAACAGGCTAATGAAGGAAGGAAATGTATCAGAAGAATTTAGGAAGTACTACGGTCAGTACAAGAAAATATACAACAAAGTTATCAGTGAAGCAAAAAAATCATCTAATAACATGCGATTAAGAACAGCTGTCAACAAATCGGGGGTAATGTGGGACTTAATCAGGGAGGAGCTAGGTAACCAGAAAAAAATAAAGAAAAATTTTGAAATAAACACAGGCGGAGTAAATACGCAAGACCCAAAAGTAATAGCTAATGTCTTCAACGAATACTATACTAGCATCGCACAAAAAATTTTAGGAGGGACCTCATCAGTAAAAAACCAAGAAGCAAATGTTAATGCAGTCAGATATAACGGTAACAGCATGTTCTTAACCCCAACTACCGAATTAGAAGTTGCAGGCATAATTAAAGGACTTGGTAACAAGAAGTCGCCAGGTATAGATGATATCCCAGAGTATGTTGTCAAAAAATGCTATCCCAAGTTAACAACTGCTTTGACATATGTAATAAATTTGTCACTTGTAACCGGACACTTCCCTGACCAGCTTAAAATTGCAAAAGTCAAACCCTTGTATAAGAAAGGAAGCAAAACAGATGTCGCTAACTATAGACCTATATCACTAATTTCTGTATTTTAAAAAATTATGGAAAAAGTCGTGTATAAAAGACTCTTATCATTCTTAAATATTTACACCATAATTAATGACAATCAGCATGGCTTCTGTAAAGGGAAAACAACAAAGACTGCAATCGCTGATTTTTTAGGGAAGGTATATAACTCACTGGATGAGAGGGAAATAGGTATAGGATTATTTTTGGATCTATCTAAAGCTTTTGACCTAGTCGATCACGATATACTGTTAAGGAAGCTGGAACGAATGGGAATACGAGGGGTTGCGCTTAAATGGTTTCAAACATATCTGGAAGGAAGAGAACAAAAAGTAGAAATTACATATAGGGATAGAGAAACCAAGGAAAGCATTAACTGGCTATCACAACAAAGACCCGTAAGTNAGCTTGTGTAAAAACAATTTCAATAATCTTGGTCTTCGTCTTCTAAACCACCTACCGCAATACATTAAAGAGATACCAGCATTATGTAAATTTAAAATTACTTTGAAAACATTTCTATTAAAACATTGCTTTTATAGCATAGATGAGTTCCTGTCCTATGTGGACAAGACTTAGTTCACATTAGGATCATATAATAATTTGAAAGTAAGAACAATTGAGCTTAGCTTAACACACACTAGGAGTGTATACTGCGTAACTCTCTTCTTGCAGGAAACAGGATGCCATGTGCTGGAGAAAACACAGCAGGGACTATGGGATATGGAGCCGAGGCGGTGGGAGTGGTGCTGCTAGAAACCAGTGTATCTGGGAGGTCTTGTGACCGGCCAATTCGATCAAGGTTTTCCGTGGTTTTCCTTGGTCCCAGAGCAAATGCTGAGTTGGTACCCAAATTCCACGTTGCACTGCATGCTTCACATGCAGCCCCCCCAATAGTAACACCATGAAACTTATTATACTCTAACTACACAAGAATGACATGTCTTATATCATGTATAATGATCCATGGACACGAAATAAATGAAATGACATGAAATGAAATGAAATGAAATGAAGGTGCTTAAGGTCATCTTGATGATCTTGATTTTTCGTTGAAGGCTTCGGGCGTTGACTCAGTTAACCGTAATATCGGTAATAACGTAATACTGTGTATGACTGCGTAGCTCCGTAGTTTGTAGCGTGTATGCTCCATTGAGTTGTGTCGTGCAATTAATTAGATTAATAAGTAAGTAGGGATTTTGATTTGATGTTGTGGAACGAGAGTCTACATTTACTCATGAATTTACATATGTGTGTTAATTTTGTATATCGATTATTATGCTTACTATGCCCAGTGAAATTAAAAACAAACGTGAAGTCAAAAAGTGTTGTTACGATATTTCATCGAAATCGTATTTCTGTATTTTAAGCATCTTTCGGTCTAGCCTAAAGAAGGACCATAGAATATCAAGAAACTCTGAGTGTACTGTGATTGTGTTATAATTCTTGTATTGTTTCTTGCAGGATAAATGGGAAGAATAAAATGTTTGCTCCTGGGTGCGTATCATGCAGTGAGCAGACTGGAATCAATTCTTCTATTTTCCCAGGGATTCAGCACGGTATGAGCCAGATGTATAATATTATTATGAAACATACTGTAAAATTTTGGACACGGTTATTAAAGGAGCTAAAATTCTTCATCATAATTAATTTCTAATTCTACTAACAAAATGAAAACCACCTGGAGCATTATAAAATCAGACACTGGTAGAAAAATTAATAATACAGGTACACAGTTTTTAAACATTAATGGAAGTTAACTGATAATCATGATGTGATTACAGATTCTTTTAATGATAATTTTCGAACAATAGCTGACAAGATCAATACTAATAATGCAAACGTTGGCCACATTATAGAGTTGGATGCTGACAAATAGTCAAATTATCTGTCTCAAGCTTTCACGATTCCATTTCCAAAAATTAAATGAACCATACCTCTACTAAAGAAAATGAAAATATAATTAAGTATTTAAAACCAAAAAAATGTAGTGGATATGATGAAAATCAGCAAGCCTTTCATTAGGTCCCTGTTAACATATTTGTAACAGATCTCTTTCAACTTGTGTCTTCCCCACTTGTTTGAAATATTCAGAAATAAACCCATTATTTAAAAGCAGATAAAACTAATATGACTAACTACAGAACTATATCATTACTGACATTGTTTTCAGAAGTTGTTGAAAATTTTATATATGCAAGATTGCACCTGTTATGATGCCAGGATGGGTGTAGTCTAGGGTATCTGTGCAAGGATATGTCCCTAGCGTAGTGCCCCTTCCCAAATCACAATGAAAAATCTTCCTCTTAATGAAGTCAAAAACAATTAACATTTATTTATTCAATAACATAAAATAATAAGTTCAAACAAATTTAGCCTGCTTGCAATCACTTCGTCTCTAAGCTGAGGTTAACTGGCCAGGCTGTGACGAACAGATCTCTACTTACAGAATACAGCAACTTTCCCGAAGGCGAACATGGTGGTGCTCGGTGAGTGCAGAGTTCTGTTATTCAACTGGCTCCCTATGCCTGCCGCCTGAGTGTAGTGGTTCCCCCTGGAGGATGGACCGTTTGTCTAACGTGAAGCACTTGTTCTGACTACAAGAAGTGCTTCCATTGCCATTATCTAACCCATAAATACTCTATATTTTCCTCAGGCACATTGTAACAAAGCTTACAGTTGGGCCGTCATCATTCTTTATCATCTTTTACTTTCTAAGCTAACAAGTGATTGCGTGACGCCGTACAGACATAATAGGATATGTGATTCAGCTCCTCATGACATTTGTTGCAAACTTCAACTTGTGCAATATTATTCACTGCCATGACATCCGTCGTTAGCCTTACTGTGTAGGAAGTCAATGTGGTCTGACTTCCAGCTTTACTCACTATATGTTTTTCTCTGTCCACATGCTACATCCTGTGGTCTGATTACAGTTCATACAATTTGCTTGTATTCTCATATGGTTAATTAAATGATTAGTAATTGTCAATATACAATCAATACATATTCCTCAATATCCTTATTCCTCTAAGGTAATATTAATATATAGTATACGTGTCAGGTGAAGTCGTCTCATAACACACCAACATATAAAAAGTAACAACATAATAGCAAATGAACAATATGGTTTTAGGAGTAAATCATCTACAAAAATTACCAGAAATAAATTGATTGATGATATATTAAATGTACTGAATAACAAACTGTTAGTGGGTGGAATTTTCTGTGATTTGAAGAAAGCTTTTGACTGTGTCAATATCTTTCTGTCTATCTCTCAGTCTGTCTTCTTGTCTGCCTGCCTAAAGTAGAATTTTATGGAATAGTTGATAAGGCCAATGCATTGATAAAATCCTATCTCAAAGATAGGTACCAAGGGGTTGTAAATCCATTTTACTCATTGGAGGAATATTTTAACTTCAGTATTTATTAATGATCTTGGTCTGTTATATGCTGGATGCCTACTAGTATATTTATACGTTTCATTATTGTAGTCTTGTGTCATAGTGTGTTGCATTCTTTTACATATATATTTTATAACTGTGTTAATGATTTACTCACTGTGATTTGTCTTTGATAATATGTGTAACTGTTATGGATTAAGTACAATTAATTTGTATTTATATAATTGATTCAACTTGTCCTGTTGTTTTTTACTGTTACTATATCCGCTGTTCTTCCAGCCATGTAAGTTTTCATGGAATATAAATAAATGAATGAATGTCTGTTTTAGTACATGATATAATGTTTTTTCTTTTCCTGTTGCTTTATACGACGAACAAATTAAGTTTAGCCAGTGTCTGCATTAAATGAATTAAATGTAACCCCACAATGTAGCACCTACACCATGTTTGTAATGTTTACTGATGAATTATTTCAGAGTTTTGAGACAATGTGTAATACTCTTACAGGGCTATGGTATGGGCAGGAAGAGTAGGGTTATCCTGTGCTACTGATTCTGCTAGAACGCTGTACCGCTGATGACTGAAGCAGCCAGGCAGAGGGCCACAGAGAGGGCGATGAAGATACTGACTCATCAGTAAGTCGTTAGGAAAGGAATACTTCTTCATTTTTCCATTATAATGTCCTGCCCATACCAACCCTGGAAATTGACAGCAGTTATGGAATTACTGGAAGAATATGTGTGCCAACTAGTCACATGAGCATCATTAGATGTTTCATAAGTTGGAGAAAGTATCCCTGGTGACAAGCAGTTGCAGCGCAGCAACAGAAACTACTGTGCAACAGATGATAACATCGTCAACCACAGTTCGATTACATACAAGTAACTTATTTGAACTTGAGCTCCATTTTTATCCTCTTTGCAAACATGTTTCCTTCGTCTCAGAATATTAGAACTTCACTGGGTCAGAGTTCATTCTGGCCTTTATCTTCAAGTAATTGTATTTCAATCGAGAACTGTGTGGGAAATTGTTTTCTCTCTCACATGGGTCTTGTTGATATGTAGGTAAGAATGAAGAGGCATTACTTTATAATTGACTTGCAAAGTTCAGGTTATCCACCTCAGTGTGAAACTCTGAGAAGCAGAATCAGTATCAGGATTGAATGTGGGTGGGACTGTTTATGTAATTTCTTTACCTATTTCATTTTCATTACATTGTTATTCACTTCTGTTGTCAGAGGTATATTCCTTCTCTTGCTTTTGCCATATAATCCTACCTATACTGAATTGGTGAACATGAACATAAGATTTTCAATAGTAATTGCATTTCTTTAAGATATATTATTAATTTTTGCTATATAATCGTATCCAATACTGAACTGGGATATGAATAGATACCAGATTTTCAATATTCATTGCATTTTTGTAAGATATGTTACTTTTGCCATATAAACATTTCCATATAAAGCAAGCTCTGTTTACATCAGTTCACCCTTGAATCATCTATGTAATAAATCTTTATCATCAGGTACTTTTCCTCAACGCTTAAAATACGCTGTAATGAAACCACTTTTTAAGAAAGGATAGAGAAAATGCATCTCTAATTACAGACCAATATCCATATTGACTTCATTCTCAAAAGTCTTTGAAAAAGTTATGTATAATAGACTACTTGAACATTTAAATTCTAACAACATATTAGTCAAAGAGCAATTTGGGTTTAGGAAAGACCTAACAACAGAAAAAGCAACCTATGAACTAACTAACGATATTTTAAGTGCTCTCAATGACAGATTAATTGTGGGAGGGATTTTCTGTGATCTAGCAAAAGCTTTCGATTGTGTTAATCATGATATCTTACTGTCGAAATTAAATTTCTATGGAATAACTGGCAAAGCTAATGAATGGATCAAATCATACCTCAAAAACAGGTATCAAAGAGTTGAAATAAATAATAAAAACTCCAGTCATAATGCATTTTCAAACTGGGGAATTATAAAGCACGGT